CTTGCCTTATAATGTTTACTGGATATGTACAATATGGTCCCCCCCAAAAGTATTGTTAGCCATAGGATTGATGTGATTCGAGGCTTTCCAAGCAGTGTTACTCGACATATTTCTGAACGGTTAGTAGTTCTACATCCACGACCCTTGAGCATGAATGACTATATACATTGTGAATGATGTGAATCCTCCGAGGCTTCAGATCAAATACAGTGTACTCTCGATTTAACGGAATCCGATATAACAAACTCTTGATTTAGCGGAAGAAATTTTTTCCGTTATTTTTCACTCGATTTTGTGAACTAGTTTGTTAAATCGAGATTAATTCCGCTAATACGCTTACACCTATGGAGACACCTCAGACACATGATATATACACAGAAACTTTAGAAAATTATTCATGGCTTACCTTAAACTAGGGGGTTCAATGTTTGTTTTAAATTTTTTCTATAATTTCCAAATTTTTTTCCAATTAATAGCTGTGCTCTTTTGACTTTCTTCCCCACACTACTTCCTTTCTGAGACTTCTGAGAGACTTTCGGCATGATGTCTAAGCACAGTAGTTAGTTGACCGAGATGTAGACTGAGAGGCAACAAGGAACAGCACACGCGGTGGCGGCAGGACACAGACTGAGCGGATGTATACAAACCCCACTTGCCAAGCGGCGCATTTGACATGGATTGTAACGAAATCACACTCGATTTAGCGAACACTTCCATTTAACGTATCTTTCAGAGTTACTATAATCATTAGTCAGTGGCTTGTTTATATATGCCTTGCTTCTACCCAGCATAATACATAAATTAGTACAGTATAGATTAATTGAAGTATAGGTATTGTATTTAGTATGCTATACAAGGACGACTCCCCCCCCCCCAATTCTACCCCCATCTCCAGCTGTTGCTGATATGGCCAGCAGGTGTACCAACTTATGATGATACACTGGGGATCATATTAAAGCATTTTGTCTAGTGATTCAAATTGTAGTGACAGAAAATCTAATGATGTTTTTGGGGGGACTGTACACGACCCAGTTTGAACATTTCATCACGGGATGTAAACAGGATCCCATATTATGTTGCACAGACCAGATTACAAATATTATCATAATTATGTGTGATCAGTTAGTCTTATGAAGTTTTTTTTTATATTGATGTCACTAATTTATTTCCTTCAGAGACGGTTTTTCTTGTCATATTTTGCAAAGTGTTAAATGTATATGTGACCCATATCTAATTAATGACTGTATTTATATGTAACAGTACAGTAGTTAGTTTCAGTGGCAATTTATTGTACTGGTGGTCATAAGTTTTAATCCTAGGTTTATAAGTCAACAATCTACATTTGCAGTTTACTTGTAGTTCAAGTCATTAACTTTACTTATTTTAATCATCATTTCTTAATGTAGGTAATGTGTTTGTATCTAGATACTGAAATAAGATAAAGTATAAGGCAATATTTATTGCAGTAAACTTTATAGTGAAGGCTGTCCATGAACCAGTGTTACTGTCATAGTAGTACACCTATTGTTGCAGCATTCACATAACCATTTTAAACATGGGGCAACAATGTATTGAAATACATATGTTTTTAATATAAGTCCATTGTATGCAGCTATATTTTTCTGCTTTATTTTAACCCATTTGGGTATTGTCATGCTCTTTTCATTAGATTAATTCAACTTTGTCACTTTTATATGAATGTAAATCGTAATTTTGAATTTACTTACTCCCTTTTTTATTATTCCTGTTGATGTAAGATGATGCTTAGGGTTGTCTCATAGTCTATGGACCAGGTATATGTACCCTAGCTGGGTGTACTGATGGGAGCTGTAAGAAATAAAGTACTGTAATATGAACTCTATATATGTATAGAATAGAGTAGACTACAAACTGACCTTGAAAATTTGTGCTAATTGGTATTCCACCCTGGCAGTATTACCGATAATCACGGATTTGGGGAATGCACAATAAAGATATAGGAAAATAATCTATAAAAGAAACACTAATTGTACTAATTAAAAAAATCTCACTTAAAACAGTATAATTTGCTTTCAATGTGACGTCATTCTTCTTGAGTAATCAAATATCTTACTCCTCGAACTCTCTGCGGACAAGGAGATTCATCTTCATTGCATACATTCACTCAGCCAGTTGCCCAATTGTTCAATTTCTCCGTATTTTACTCATATAATGTGGATAATTAAATAAAAGGAATTCTATCTTCTTAAATTTCTTATGTTTATTATGATCAATAAAGGTGTAGTGTTGTAAGAGAATTTGTGGAATTTGGAAGTGAACAAAAGTGTGGAGGTGTGGATATTGTCAGCAATGCATGAAAGAGTGAGAATTTAGCATCAGCTGACCAACAGCAGTGTCCACCATGTAGACAAAGCATCAAGAATTTAAGAAGACATGATAAGTCGTCAGGGATTGAGAGTTTTTTTTTTTTTAGTTGAGAACATAAATTATCTCTAATTATAAAATGGGAATCAATGTATTACTACATACAGTAATATATTAATTATATTTCTTGGCTTGGCATTTTGTACTATTCGCTTTGTTTTATATCTGGTGTCTATAAGTCCAGGTATGAAATTAATTTTGTACAGTACTGTATGTACTGTACAGTATTTCACTTCTTATATTTATTATTAATTTATAATCGATGTGGAAACCAAGTTTTATTGTGCTAAATCTAACCTGTGTTTACTTTATTAAACTGTCATAATGATTGCAATCTCTCCATCTGAATTTTACAACAGTTGCTGCATAAGAGATGAGAAGTTATTTTTTATTCAGTATTATTAAACAAAGCCCTCAGACTGGCAGAACACAGTAACAGTAACTGGGGAACTCTCAAACAAGATGCATGGATTTTAGGAAAAACGGAACCTTTGAGACACGAATTTGCTAGGTTAGTCTGTATTAATGGTAGATGTGTTTGGGATGATAAGATTGATAATATACAGTGAAGTGGTATAATTATGAGAAAAAGGATACACCACTGATAATGAAAGTTAGGTTGAGAGTGTGGGTATAGAACTTGAGATTACATTTTAGTTTTCATGTGAAATTTGCCTGGAGGAAGAGATATTGAATGGTTTGATAAGTTAGTTGGGTAGTGTTTGATTACCTCAGGAAGTTGTGACCTTGCCTTCCCAACTGTTCCCTTCCTGTGGGTTGGTGCTAGGAGGGACATCCAGCTGTAAAACTTTGCTGTATTTTCTGGGCTGGCACCCTGGGTTTGTGGTGGTGAACAAGGAGGGGAGAAACCCTCTTCTGGTTTTCCTCAATAGCAGCCATCAGGTAATTTTGGTTAATCCATGCATGTGTGGAAAATGGCCATAAAACGTTGATGATGATGATTATATGTTGACAGTAAGAGTGATGGAGTAGTAATTGATGTATCAGAAAGAACCTAAAAAGACAGGTGGATAGGCTGAATGTTTAAAGGGCGTAACAGAAAAATAGTAAGTTCTCAGTCCTTGTATACAGCTACTCCTCAACTTAGGCATACTCGACCTACGACCACCCGGACATACGACCGCCTCAGTTGTACCAAAATTTTGTCAATTTACGTACTTTCGAGTCACAACGTTAGTGATTTGCGCTGTGTACTGACAAAATTTTCGTTTGTAATTCACTTTAAAATGGCTGGCAAGCTTAAAAGTGAGAGCTTTGTGATGCTGAGAAGAAAAAGAGACACCCATTTTAGATTTTCTATGTATTATTTAAGCATTTTCGACTTACGACCAATTCGACTTACGACCTGGATTGGGTCCCTAACCCCGTCGTAAGTCGAGGAGCGGCTGTAGTTTGTTTACTAATGAAACATGAAAGTGCAGCCTTATAGTGCAAGGAGAAGTGTTCAAGAAAAGTGGATTTTGGAATGAGTGATCAGAGTGAGAAGTAAACTTATAAGAAGATATGAATTGAGCACTTGAAGAAGTAAAAAAATTGTGACTTATTGGGTTTAGACATGGATTAGAGATGTTGAGTAAAAGAGTCTGTTTAAGGGCAGATAAGGGGACAGAAGGACAGAGTAAGGTAATGTGGGGTCCAAGAACATTTTTGGGACTGGAAATATATGTAAAATATGCATCCTGTTGTGTAAATGGTACAGAGGATACTAATATTATCATCTAACCTTAGCAGTTGTACCATAGAAGATATACAGTAAGATGATCATTGCAAGAAGGTCTTTTACCGTATATGTCTGGTTAAAAATCATACATTTAGAATTATTAAGGTGTGAGGTTTACTTTTATATCACATAACAGATGTGCGACTGTGTCATATATCACATATGTAGATAAAGGGGAAAAGATGAGTTTCAGACAATGAGTTGGTCCATAGGCTAAGAAATGACATTTATCACAGTTAAAGTAGAGCTTGATGATGGTCTTTTATCTACTAATGTTACCATTATCTTAACTTTTTACTGTATAATTGTTGGTGTTCTGTATCTGATTAATTTTAATTACTGTACTTTAATCACAACTATCACAATATTCACCCCATCTGGCCCCCCCCCCCCAAAAAAGAAAATAGTTGTCCTTATCAATAACCTAAAATTTTGTGCCTTTCCGAGATTTGCTCATTAGAAAAAATATATATAAATTTTCAGGTTCAGGACACTAGAAAAGAAAATTTGAAATTTATATTTACTTTAGTTTGTTTTCAAGATATTTTGAAGATTATTGACTGTAGTTTTCTGTATAGGAATGTATTTTTTGCATGCTATTTACATCCTTTTTCATATATTGCTATGTAGGTAGATATTCCAGTACTTGGTTCCCTTTGAAGATCTTAAAATCTGAATTGAAGTATGGAATGGCATGCAGTTGTTGTGTTTTATGTATTAGTTTGTTTTTTTACTCTCTCTTTCCACACCTGTCACCTTCCTGCCTTCCTGTCTGCCTGCACTGTTGTGTGCACGCCGGAATGTACACTCCATTGCGCATACACCCGTCCGTGGCACACAAATACCTTGTGTGCAGCGGGTTGCCGAAAAACTGGCAAGTAATGGGAGTGTGTCCATCTCCAAGGCCATCCGAAACAAGGAATTAGAAATTATTCCCATCTCGCCGGCTGTAAAGGGGAGCTCCCAGTCCCATGGTAGCACGCCACCTCATCGAGACAAGTCTGAGCCCAAGGTGTCCATATCAACGGTTGGTTCTGGAAACTCTCGTCTGTCAAATGGTGTTCCGAGCAGTGGATCCTGGCGTGAGGAATGTGCGAGCGTATCCATAGAACCATGTGGGTCTGGGACTCCAACATCTACAGATGATGCACCGCTAAACCTCTCCATGAAAGCGCCGTTATCATCAAAATCTTGTGAGTATAATAATGGTTAAGTTTATTTCGGAATTTTAACCAATTCATTCCACCACTTTTTTCTTCAGAAATTGTCATTGTTCGTAATATAAGACAGCAATATTGTATATTACTGTATTTATTTTCATGTCTTTACTTCTTAAAGTTAGTGAACATATGGAGCTTTTACTAATTAATTTGAATTAATCCGTCCACTATTTCTTGATGCCCTTCAACAATCTTGACAGTTAATAATTATCACTAAAGTAGTTATTAATTTTTCATATAATATTTGATTCAAGCATCCAAAGGTGCAGACAAGAGAGAGCTAAAGGAATCCCACACCAGTCCCCTGAGTCTTTCTCGAAGTGGAGTGCCGCCCTTTGACTTCTCACAAAACCTCAGTGGAGGCCTTGGCTCAGGCCTCCCTCCTAGTCTAGAAGTTCTTCAAAGTCTGTATGGCCAGCCTGGGGAGCCACGGGACGTCCTAGCCTCCGTAAGTGTCAAACGATCTTTCTAATATCTGGTGCTTGAGCTGCTGTTTGGCAATTTGAAAGTTCCATGGCAGATTTAATAGTACACATACATAATATATTTTCTTACGTGTATTTACTCATGTTTCTGGCCACTGTGCATTAAGTGGGTGAAGGCTTGAAAGAATAAAAAATAATGTTTTCTGTGTGAACCCATCTGTTTTCTTTTAATGTCGGGGTTTATGCTTAACATGATGGTTATAGAAACATCATGTTATGTAAATGGGGGATTTATTTAATGTGATGATTGTTAGTGAATTATAAAAACAAATAATCTTGCCAGTTAGCCTTCTATTTTCTTCACTGTGTTTTGTTTGGTTTCTTCTGGAAATATTCTGCTGAGTCCACAATTTGCTCTCATACTCCTTCCAACCAGTTTTGTTCAACCAACCTTAATTTATTTCTACATGTGCAGGTTTTATGTGTGTAACTTGACCTCATAAGAAGAGTAAGATCACTTATAAAACAATGCATGTAGCGTATGTACACGAGATATTCCCATTAACTGGAGTAATTGGTGCACTGTGCTTCTGGGAATAAGAGATTTCCTGGTATGGAGACAAATTTTCTCAATCTGGGAAAAATCTCACATCCCTGGAATTTTTCCGGGTACTTTACTGGGAAAAGTTTTCCGTGAGTCTAAAACTACCGGGTACTCATCTTTCATGGACCGGCACAGAGTTGTATACAGTAGTATATTTATGCAAAGACCACTGTACACATACAATATACATATAGTAAATAAACAAACTATACTACTGTATACACTATACTGTACTCACTTGGGCTTGTGATGCAGGCAGGACAAATGGTGTTATAATGATACAGGATGACCTGCCTTTGTCCTGTACCATCTCCTGTAGCAGGTGTTGCTATCTGTCACTCTCCTCTCTGTCCATGAATGGGGGACTGTACATGCACACTGTATACTGTACATACACCCTCTATACAGTAGCATACACTGTCCACTCTGTTATGTACAGTACAGTATTGTACATATGGTACTTTCACATTGAATGTACAATGCAAGTATCCCTCGTTTAATGATCGTTCACTTAGCAATTTTTCGGTTCAGTGATTTAAAGTTTTTAACACCCTTTCTCATTTAACAATCATCAATTTTTGGTTTAGTGATCTTTGACACTGGGATAAATATGGGAGGGAAGTAGGAAAAATTGGGGATTCTGTACTCCAAGTGCACGTCATTACAATACTCTAATGAGGCATAGCAATAAAGAAAATATAATATACAGTGGTCCCTCGGTTAACTAACGGTTTGATTGATGAAATTTCGGTTAACGAATTAGCTCCCATAAGGATTTTCAGTTCGATTAACGAACAAAACTTTGGTTAACGAAATATTACGACAAACACTTTTGTTGTGCGCATCAGCTGATCGGCTAGTCTGCCAATACAGTAATTGGTTCTATGTTTACATTCGTTTCCAGTGGAGTAAATATCAAGAAAGTTGTGCTCTTGAATATTATTAGTCATTCTAATTTAGTTAACATATTGATAATATATACAGTACAGGGAACAGTTTTTGTGTGCCCATTAGCTGATTGAATCACCCACCAACACTTCTCAGTTTAACTTTATTTACAGTGGAATGAACATCCAGTTTGTTGGTCTCTTGAATATTTTTGCATTTTTACATTAAAATTATTGGTCATTCTGAAATTTAGTTCATATATTGATAATATACAGTGCAGAAATTATTATGAAACATGAAGAAGGCATTAGAACCAATGCACTCTGTAAAGAATATGGCATGTCATCATCGACTGCCTCTGCAATCAGCTGTTTGATATGTAAACAAAGCTGCCGGGAATACGACATACACACCTCAAAGTAAGTTAAGATATAGTGCTCTATTGTTTTTTATATATTATTATACAGTGTACTGTACAGCACAGTACTGTCTTTAGTTTATATTTAATGTTTTGTTAATTCTATACAGTGCTTTGTATGTACTTTTTCTGTGAGTTGGAACCAATTACCCAATATCCCATTGAAATAATAGTTTCAGTTAACAAAATTTTCGGTTAACGAACGACTCTGTGGAACCAATTGTGTTCGTTAATCGAGGGACCACTGTATAACTATGAAATAAGAAAATGAAGATCCTGGATCTGTATGTGTGGGAAGTTAACATATGCATTGAGGAAGTGAGCTGTAACTGTGGCCAGCTGCACTCTCCCACCCACCATACAGGCAGCAGTCACACACATTTCTTGAGTCAGCTTGGTGACTGCCTGGCTGAACTGTGTCACATGTATACTGTACCAGTAAATTTGAGGAATAAATAAAAATAATAATTCAAAAAAGAATAATGCGTTGCCATTTGGGAATCTTTTCACGGGACATGAGACAGAGAACAGGGCCCAGATTCACTGACTTGACCGTAACTTTGATCATACATAAAATTTTTAGATATAATGTTTACTCTGAGTAAATATGTTATCTTTTGTGCAAAATATATGACATTTATATTCAAAATATTCCTGGTCTTACAAGGAATCCAGCAATGTCAATTATATTATCCTAACTTTAATCTGAGGTAATATTTAATACTAAATGTTAAAATCTAGTTTTTTCACCCACCCTTTCTCTTGAAGGGAGGGTTGGTGGGAGGTGCGGGGGGAGGGTTGGGATTGACTGACCATCTGGCTCTGTTGGAAGAGAGGGGAAGGCAAGGTGGGGTACTTTGATTGACAGATAGTGTCTGAAGAATATTTTTTTTTTTATTAACTGAAGATATTTGTTTTAGCTCATAAAATTCATACAAATTACCCGGCCAGAATATAATTTACATTGCTGGAATTCTTACAATTTGATGATCATTTTGAATATAAACATCATAGATTTTGCATTAGACATACAAATTTTAGATGTAATGTTTACTCTGAGTAAATATGTTATCTTTTGTGAAAAATATATGACATTTATATTCAAAATATTCCTGGTCTTACAAGGAATCCAGCAATGTCAATTATATTATTCTAACTTTAGTTTGAGGAATTATTTATTACTATACCTGGTTTTCCCCCAAAAATTTCTCAGAGGGAAGAACCAGCGAGTGTACTGTGAGAAGAGGGGGAGGGAGTGAGTCCATTATTTGAATGGACATTAACTTGGCGACTGTATTTGGGGGTCAGCTGGTCTCTATTTCATTTAATCCCATATGTTATATTATTCACTTTACGCGTTTCTCACTTTCCACGGTACCCTGTGGGTTACATTAACCGCGTAAAGTGAGGGTTGACTGTATATCAAATACTGAGTTAAAGGGAAAATGTTGCAGACCCATTTTCAAGACAAATAAATCATAAAACAAATCAACACAATAATATTTTTAAGATAATAGATAAAGCTAGTGTACTGTACAGTGTACTTAACAATAACAGCAGATACATCAACTTGGGTAGACGAGATGGTGGTGGTAGAGGTTTTATATACTGTAGTGGGTGATGGTGTTGGAGTGACATGTGCAGAGTTATCAGGGTTGGAATCCACATCAGGGAGTATGACATCTTGTATAAGGCTGAATTTTGCTCGTATTAATTGAATTCCTGGTAGGAATAGGTTCTTCGCATGTGAGTGAATTCGCAACTGCTGAACTGGCATATATTGAGGACTTACTGTATACTTAATTTAGGTTATTATAAGTCAAGATAAATATTTAGATATAATATATATGCCAGGAAGATAACATTCACCAGAGGAAACTGTGTACGTACTGTATAGAGGTCGGCTGGGGTGGAGAGTGGTAAAGTTATTGAGACAAAACTGCAAGATTACCTGCATCTTCATTTAAGGATGAATGCTTGAAATAGTAGACCCAAGACAACTGGACAGCTTTTCCCTTCTTTTCTTTGTACATCTCCTTGTAGCAGTTATTGTCATTGGTTATTAACTTGTTAACCCTTAGGCCCCGGGTGACGTTCCAGAATGTCTGCCTATTTCCCACCATTTTTTTATTTTATTTTTTATTTTTTGAAAAGTTGATTTTTTTTCCTTGATTTAACCCCGCGGGGGTACTGCCAGCAGCACCCTAACCCGGGGCTTAAGGGTTAACTGTAGAGCTCTGTTCTCTGTTTGGATCACATTCATTGAAGTTGACAGGTAAGCCAAGCACTCTGGTGATGGCAACAACTCATTCACCAACTTCAAAATGTTTTGATATATCTAATTTTACCTCCAGATTAGTACATTTCCTTGGTGTTTTCTTATCAGAGGCACAAACATCTCTTGCTGGACATTTTTTTCTAATTTTACAAGGTTTTGGTAAGGATTTACTCACCTAACAGATGAGATCAAACAAAAGTGGTGGTGATGCATAAGCCAACATTGGGGAGGGGAGGTGGAGGCTACTCGGTGTTCTAAAGCTACTCAAAGTAATCCATTGCTGTTTGTAGGATTATTTTTATTATTATTATTATTATTATTATTATTATTATTATTATTATTATTATTATTATTATTATTATTATTATTATTATTATTATTATTATTATTATTATTGTTTCAATAAAATTTTTGGGAGAATTTTAAAATTTTTCTTTAATTCATCAGCAATGTATAAGCAAAAGCAAAATAACAAATACTGTATCAAGGTATAACAGTACCTGCAATTGTTTTCATATTTTAGATTCATGAAAAAAAAAACAGCATTGAGTAAATAATCATACTGTACTGGTATTAAAAAAAAAAAAAACATGCATTAGTATACTGTAGCCTATTTTTATTATTAGTTTGGAGAAAAATTATGAAAATATTGATTATTTTCTGTAATTTCGAAGTTTTGCTCCTAAAACAGTGTGTGGGATATGTTTTCTTCTTAACTTCTAATTTTTATAAAATAGAAAATCCCTCATAAATTTGTGTTTGCCCTTATTGCAATGTTTTTATTTTACAGTACAGTATAGTCTGGATTTACGCGGTTTTTGTTTACGCGTTTGGTCATTTACGCGGTGCCTTGCCAGAATGAAATGTTTTAATTACGCGGTAAATTTCATCATTTACACGGGAAGCGGCGCGGGCAGGGTGTGCACAAGGTCGCCCAGTCATCAAAATATTACCGAGTTCTTCACCCACCACAGCCGGCCCAAGTCTGTGATAGTGATTGTGAAGATATGGACTTTGAGGGGTTTGACAAAGAGGCCCTGCTAGCCTCTGTGGTGGATAGTGATACAGGTGAGGGCCAATAATCTGCCCTCTGCCTCGGAATCAACCCCCCCATCCCCGTGTGCCCAGCCATCTTTTCTACTAACATAAGTGTTAAAAAACCTAATATTCTTGATATTTCTCTTAAATATTAATTGTGTGCATACCATCATAAAATTAAGATGTTATTTTTACTACAACTTACGTATTGTGTCGGAAAAAAGTGTAGTTTGGGGGTCGGCCCAGTCTCTATTTCAATTAATCCCACATGTTCTGTTATTTTGTCTACGCGTTTCTCGTTTTACGCGGACCTCCTCGGGTTCAATTGACCGCGTAAATGCAGACTATACTGTAATTGAATATTGTTTAATTGCCTTTGTATGTTATATATTTTTTGGTGTCTAGTGTAATACTTTACTGAGGTTACCCAGGAAATAAAAACATTTCAGTGTACAGTACATCAGAGAAAATTTCATAAAAAATCTTAACTGCAAAATTTGACAACATAAATCAGCATTTGTTTATTAAGCTTTGTAATTTTTAAATACAAAATTTCATAAATTGAGCCTTTGGAAATCAAAGGATGCTTGTAATCCATACATGGATGGGAGGAGAAAAACATGTAATTACCAAGAAGCAAGTTGAGAAACAGGAGGAGTAGGGATATGGAGAAAGATGCAGTGAGTGTCTACTATAGGGAAATGTGACACCTGGTGATTTATGGGGGTAGACTTGTGATTGGTGTATGATGCTAGCTGGGGTGATTTATGAAGCAACAGAGCAAACTATCTTAGTAGGATGTCTTGGGGGTCATGTTATAAGAGAGGAACACCATAGCAGAACATCTCAGAACATCTCTTGTAAGGTAGCCAAAAAATAATGCACTACAGGGGATTATTGAGATAGTGTTTTGCTCTTGTATTGGGAAAGGGTTTGTTCAAAAAAAAGTAACATAGGAAAGAAAAATTTTCAGGACATTGTGGGTTTCTCTTTTATTGGCAGATGCAAGAGGCTCTTCAACGGCAACTTCTAGGAGCAGACGGGAAGAGGGAAGAGAAAAAGAAAAGGGTAAGAGGTGTACTATTGGCTAGGTTGGGAGTTTTTTTATTTTAGGGGGCTGGAAATTTTCTTCTGCTCAGTCAATAATAATCATTACTGGTAGTAAGTAAAATTATAAATTATCTCGGTAAAAATCGCATTTACAAATTTTAAGTTGTTTAAATATCAAATTGAGTGCATCAGTGTGTAAATTTATTTTGCCTGTGTGTTGGTTAGGTTAAAGCTTTTGAGAATTCTAATTTTTGAAAAAAAAACCCAAAGTAATTGAATAATCTTTTTGTAATTGGAATTATTAAGGATAGTATGTACACTCCTCTCTCTAGTTCAGTATTATTAGTTCCAGAGGCATACTGTATTGGTATTCATCGACTTTGTTAAGTAAAAGTGCAAGAGGCATTGTTGATGCTGCTTCTCATCTGTTTTAAAGCAGCTTAACCCAAAAGGTATGGATACCTGCCCAACTCTTCACTCACTGTTGAGGCATCATCACTGGGAGATCAGTCATTTATGACTTTCATCAGTGAAGGTTTTATTTTTATCAGCTGTTGACCCTGCATCCCCTCATGTGAGTGGGAGCCAGGAAGTGGCAGTTGTGTGACAAGTCTTGGCCAGTAGCAAGCTGGTATTATCGGGCACAGGCATTATTATCAGCCAGTCAGAGGCCAATACTTACCATCCCACATGAAGTGGCTATTTTTCTGGAGTATGGTCCGATTATGAGTTATTATGAGGTAAGAGGCTACGAGATAATTATTAGGGTGTACACTGTAACAGTGCAAGAATATCAATATGGTGGGTTAGAGAGAGGCTAGTGTATATGTTTCAAAGGTTTATTTTTCAGGATGTAATGTTGGGTTTGTTAAAAGACCAACAAATGAAACATTATGATTCACCTTGCTGCAAGCAAAATGAATTAAAAAGAAACCCTCAAAGAAGGAATTGTTTTATGGGACAGAAATAAGGTGAAGAATTATCACTGTTGTGCTCCATTAGTTAAAGTCACACTTTATTCACCAGAGGGACAAGACTCACGAGCAGTGTATTTATCAGATGGAGGATGCTCAGGAACGGGCGCGGCACCTAGGTCGAGGAGTCTCCAAACCGAAGAAAAACACAGTCGCATCATTACTGGAACAGTGTCGTGCAGCAGGCATTAAGCCTTCAAGCCTACCTCTGCCTCCTACTACCTCCATTGCTGCCACTCCAGTCACTACCTCTCCTCCCTTACTTGTGGCATCTTCACGTTCGGGGGAATCTCTGTCCATCACTTCCACGTCTCCAACATTCAATTCATCATCATCTCCTTCTCCAGCATCACAGTCTCTTCCGCCTACCCTAATCCCTGGACTGCCTGCAAATCTACCTTCATCATTGTCTGCCTCCATTGGGTCACCTGCACCTCCCCCTCCCATACCCACTCCTCCAGTGCCCTCCCTTTCAATATCTGCAGTTGCGTCTTCTCCGCCTGCATCTTCCGAACCTTCCACTACCACCATCTCCTTGAGTACAACCTCTACCTCCTCTGTTACTTCGACACCCATGACCACCTCATCTTGTACCTCATCTTCCACTTCACCGCCATCTACTCCGTCTACTCAGCCTTTGGTGACCATTACCTCATCAGCGTCCACCTCTCTCCCTGTGTCTCTTCCACCTGCCTTGTCTCTCTCTTCCTCTGTTAGCATTACTTCTGTAACTCCAGAGACCACCATGACATCAATACTCAACAAGCCAAGTGTCACAATCCACCCAACCACATCAAGTGCTGATACCCAAGACATAGAAAAAGATTCTGGGGAGATGGAAAATTCGGTAAGTTGTTTATTTGATTTCCATGTACAGTATGGATGGGATTTGTCCTATAAACCTCGTATTCACTCACTGATATGACTTCAGAGAACTTTTATATACTACTCCTTTATTGTCAACAGATTTATAGGTGAATCAAGGGAAGAATGTGCCTTGAAATACAGATTGCTCGTGCATGACATGTTGCTAAAAATGTGCAGGGAAAGGAAGGTGTATGTTCTGAGGAGGAGATTGTGGAAACTGATGAAAGAGAATGTAAAGGAAGCATTGTATGCTGAGTGGAGAAGCGTGGAAAGAGCCAGCGATAGTGTGAGTTGTTGAATCACATCAGAGAATGATCTGTCTGTGGCTGGACAAAGGGCCCAATGAGGTAGGCAGTGATGGTTTGAAAATTTGCCAGTTTAGGTGGTTGTATGACACCCCCCTAAGAGTACTGTACCTAGAGGCCAAGTGCACGGCCAGAAGAGAAGCTTATAAAGGCAATTTCAGATGAACAGAGCAGTGCAGATGCTTGAGGTAAGGGTAGAAACGGACATATTTGGTGTGCAGTACGAGAAAAATATCTGAAAATGTGGTTGTTGATAATGAAGAATTTAAGGGTGCTTGATGAAAATTCTATGATTGTCTATGAAGGAGGCATTAGAATGGGGGTTCAGGGCAGTGTAGAAGCAATAGGCCAGTACAAGGACCATGTCCAAAAATTGAAAGAGATAAGGAAAGTGATTGACAAAATGAAGAATGGGAAGGCTACTGCTAGCTCTGAAAATGTTAAAGAAATGTTGAAAACGTTAGATGATGCTAGCCTGACGATAGTGACTGAAATAACTAATGCAAATATGATTGGGAATGTATTGTTCTAGCTGACTATACCCTTTCCACACTAACCTGGCCCATAAGCCATGCCCCTCTTCTATACTAATAGCTGATTGGTTCATAGAAAATTCAAACTAGATGTGTTCACAATTGGTAAGCAGACCTGTTATTATCTAAAATAATGTAAAATATCTGGACTATTATAATGCAAATCATTTCAGAGAGGATGTTAGAAAATTTTAAATATTTATTATAAAAGGTCAATATACTGTAAATACGAGCTTATATACGCACAGTCTGGGGGAGGTAAAACTCTCAGGGTAACCAATTAGCTATTTGTTGCTACAGACGAGGGGTGTGGCTTGCAGGCCAGGTTAACGTGGAAATACTATAGCTGTGGTGATATACTGGAAAGTTGAAGCTACAGGGACCTGAAGCTGCATTTATGCCAGGCAGGGGGGACTACAGAAGTAATATTTATGGCTAAACAATTATAAGGAGAGAAAATTGTACTATGTATTTGTAGATTTAGAGAAGACATTTGACAGGGTACCATTTGAGCTTGTTCAGTGGGTATTGACAAAGTTGAGGATCAAGGAATGTCTTGTTTGAGTGATTGTAATATTTTATGAAGGCTTGGGAACCTCTGCAAGAGTAAATGTTGAAGAATGTGAGGAATTTAAAGTGAAAGTAGCAGTCCTTCAAGGGTCTGTCTTGAACCACCTTCTATTTATCATGGTGTTAGACACTATGACAAGATTTTAAGATTGGTCGGCCCTGGGAGTTGTTGTATGCTGATGACTTCATAAGACTCTCAGGGTCTTTATACACATAACACATATGGAAGAATTTATCACTTTGGGGTCTTCATACACAAAAATGCGTATGGATATGTAGTGATAAAACTTTTAAAGTTAAAGTTCCACATCATCGGCTAGATACACACGTCACTTTCATATGTCTGGCAGCTTCCCTGCCTGTGTCCAGTCACCACTGCAGCTAACAGTGTTGTCATGTCATTGAAAAAATTTCATTCTAAGGAAAATTTTATATCCTCAGGAAACACCATTATGCATTGAAATACAATTGATATCCCTGTTAGCTGGAATAACTGGTGAAGATCTCTTCCGGCAATAAGGGATTTCCAGGTATTGAGATTAATTTCTCATCCGGAAAAAATCACAGATCCACGGAATTTTTCCGGGTACTGGGGAAAGATTTCTGAGCATTTAAACTACGCATCGTGCACGGACAGACACTATCGCACATCCCTGGAGTGTTTCTGGGTACTGGGGAAAGTCTTCCGACTCTAAACTACGCATATCACATGAACAGACACAAAACTGTATTTGTTATACGCAACACCACTGTACACGTACAATATATTGTAAACAAACAAAATAATGTATACTACAGTATATGAATGATAGAAGTTGAACTGTCACTTTTGTGATCTTTTATTGTAGTACAGTATTTCTTTTTCTTCTCGAGTGTTTGACTTAGTATTGTTCGAGTGCTAGTGAATTCTTTAGAAGAACTGACACTTTTGAGAAACAAAAGACTTACTATTATTATTACTGTATACTGTATATGATACTCACCAGCAGATGCTGTTGTTTTGAGCTTATGATGCAAGCAGGCCAAATGGTGATATGATACCTGCTTTGTCATGTACCATCTACTGTATCAGGTGTTACTTTCACTCTTCTCCCTCCATGAAGGAGGGATTATATGCGCTGTTTACTGTACTATACATACACCCTCTACACACTAACCAACAGTAGGCATACACTGTCCACTCTGCTATGTACAGTAGGAAGTCCTCGATATATGGCCCCCTGTATATGGAATTTGACACTTGCAAAACTTTTATTTAAGCTCTGTACTCAAAATTCCACAGTTATGGAATTTTTTGGGGGGAAAAGGTGACTACTCTGTACTGTATATAAAATGCTCTGCATGCAAAAGCAAAACAAAACAACTGGCATCCAAACTTAATTCTATTTAAATTCAACAACAAATAAACAAAGAAGCACCTTAAGTCAAACTTGCCATTAGTACCACCATTACTATCATCACTCTGCATGTCATCTACCTGTGAGCTTATTTACAAGAATGAAAGTTCAGTGAACTTTATCTACTGTGTCCAAAGCCCTTAAAGTGATAATAAACAATTATGGTCAAGTTAACATCAGTAAATGAATTAATGTTTTGTTACCACTTTTAGGGCTTTGACACAGTAGGTACAGTTCACTGAAGTTTCATTTTTGTAAACTAACTCATGGGTAGACGACACTATGGTCAAGTTAACATCAGTAAATGAATTAATGTTTAATTCTTTTTCATAATAAAAAGATATTATTTGTATGGTAGATTTAAGGGTAAAGGTGAACATACATTCCCGCTATTGAGGTCTAGGAAGTGAACAGACAGTTAATATCATTCTAATAGTATAGTAACTATATGGAATTGGAATATGGAGGCATTAAAAGGGTTGTTGACTTTTCACATACAATAAATAATACGGAATCAAGTCACTATGAAAACTTTTCAAATTCAGACATACCCTGTATGAAAAAAAAATCTTGAAAGTGTGTGTGTGTGGAAACAACGGTATGCAATCTGTTAACTGTAATATACACTGTTGTTCTAAGTTAATTGACTGATTTTCAGATATCATAGCAAGTTATGAATCACACTCTTGAGTCAATGTATACCTATTAGTAAATTATATTAGATTTTTTCATCTAAGAATATATTGGAAATGGCAACTCCACTCTGGCATGGTGACCAAGTCCACGAGTCAGTCGGGCTACGGCTCATACGCGCCACTCACAGCTCACATGCACCACTTGCAGCTCACACTCACTACTCAAGGCTCACACCACTCGATGTGTGAGAGGACAAGATTCTCATGGCTCCCAGCATTTCATATCTTTTACGATACTGTACAACCATTTATGCAGTTTATTGCCTCCAATATTATATGAGTTATATTCGTAAACATTTATTAAAATATTGTTTTTTTTCATTTGAATGTGCTTTAAAAGGTAAAAAATTATGTATACTGTTTTGTATTATGAAGTTTTTGTCAGATAAAATTTTTCCGTAGGAACACATCTCCCATTATATAATGGAATTCAGTGGGAATATAGGGTCCATTATACAGAAATTTGGTTTATGGGCAATGTTTTAGGAACATAGCCCTCCGTAAATTGGGGACTTCCTGTACATATGGTACTTTCATACTTCCTGAATGTAGAGTACCCTGTACTGTACTGTATACTGTATGTAACTTTAATAATTTTTTATATCTTAACACTGCTTTAACAATATTCTTGGTTGATTGTATCCTTGTACAATAATGTACAGTACTGCACAACACAGATTGTATGTGAATACAGCAGTGAGCGAAAAAATTTGAGGAGATAGGGCTGCAAGATATATCAGCCAATCATTGGCATTCCATGTAGTCACATGACAATAGTGGCCAATCGTAGCTCACAAGCTGTCTGAGCCCACCTCACCCACGTGTTTGGCATGTGTTGGTGAATGATGCAATATCTTGGAAATTCATTCGAATGCCTGGAATGGAAAGATTTTCTTCAGAGTTTCTCGGAATGCTTAAAAATAATTTTGGGTAATGGAAAGTTCCGTGGATTGAAGATTCCGGCTAACGGGGAGATTACTACCCTGTATTATCATGGAATGTTTTTTGCTTCACTTCAAAATCAGAGCTAAACACACTCCAGTCCTTCTGATTATTATATAGTGTATATATGTTTCAGTCAAACTGTGTAATGAAATATTTTATGAAATGACAAAAAAAATTTTTAGTCAAATAACAAAATGAGGTTGTGTAACATGCAATCCTTAGACACTCTTAGTTCCTAACTTTTCCCCCCTGTGATCTTTAGGTTCATATTGTTTTACCATTTTGTGGAATTTCAGGTTGACATGGTATATTTCTTGTGTTGGTAATATGTAGGTCATCATGTGTGTTTAATAGGGTTCTCTCCATCTTTTCCCTCTGAATATTTTCTGCCATGTATTCTAGTGAGTTATGTTAAACTCTTTTGTGTATTATTATCATATATTACCATCAGATTTTTAATCTACATTTATTTTTATTTTTTAAAATATTTATTTTCATTTGTAACTTTTTAAGTACCTTATTTGCCAGCATATATAAAGCATTTTCTTTCCCAATGTATCACGAATTACCCTGTGTCTAATGCGTCAGTATTACGGATGGGAGGCCGAGTGCCATAGGCGGAGGTGCCTAGCTAGGGAGTCTGGGACAAGCAGTAATCCACTAAGCACAAAAATTTTGTTACTAATAATAAAAAACTGAAAAACAAGCCAAACAATCACAATCTATTATCACAAGTTTACGGCAAATTTGCCGAAGACGTAAATAATGGCTTACATTGGCTTAACAGCAGAGGGAAGCTCACAACATCTCACTGTACCTCCTTCCTCAGCGTATGTAACCCACACCAGATACATGTCTTACATTATTTAATGACTGTTACCTTTAAGAAACATTTGTTTATTATCTCAATGAAAAATACCTCAAGAAAGATTAAAGAAATGTTAACAGAAAGTTCAGCCTCCAGTCAGCCATTTGCAATGAGTCAATGACGCCAAAACAATAGCGATGATGCTACACCCTAGTGGCAGATCACGGCAACACAAAACATCACAGCCAAAAATACGAGTTTCACAGCCTGTCGGTAATTCTCTTGACCAAAATATAAACAAGCCACACAGCTGCTCTGATCAGAGGTAGAGTTGGGTTAGTATAATGTTACTATATATGATTTCCTACTTGATTCCAGTATATATTGAATTTACATGCACAAGATCACATGTTTTCCCCTAAAAAAAACCACTTTAAAATCACTTTCAATAATTGTTTGATGAAACATACTAAAAAATTTTTTTCCAAAAATATCCATGTAAAATAGGGGTGCGTCTTATGTGGTGGTGCGTCTTATATGCTGGCAAATACAGTACATTGTGTCTGAGCTGAAAATTTCCCACAGAAACATTACGCAAAACTTTTGAAGAACGCATACCTTCAATAATATGAGTGATGCTTAAGTAAGCACTGACGAGGAAGCTGCCACTGCTTCAATTTTTTTTCTTCTAGATATTCCTGGCTAAGTTAGAGACTCATTTTAAGTCCTCATTTGATGAGATATACAATACAGTATATTTTCATCTATGGATTGCGTTAAACTGAAAAAAGGATCATGTTCAGTAAAAAGTGTGCTCTAATTGGTGAGCCATGTAAAAGTGAAATCATGTTGTATAAACTCTTGTTAACCTTAAAGTTTCTGTATCTAGCTCTTCATCTGCTTCTCTGCCATCACATTTATTCAAGGCTATTGTAATAAAGCAAATTCTTGACCTACTCATTTCTTGTACAGTACTTTCTCAAATGTCAAGCTGTGCTTATTTTCACCAACAGGTTGATATTCTGGCAATCAGTCGGGCACATGAAAATGGAGGTGACAAGCCAGTAAAGAAACGACACATGATCACTTCTAGTAGTGTGGACGGGCGCCTCATCACCACCATCAAAGCTGCCACAGGTGCCTTGGATTCATCCGAGCTCAGTGATTCTGAATCAGAAGATGAATCTACATCACTATCCTCCATTGATGATGAAACCATGAATCACTTACCCTCACCGTGGTTAAAACGTGATACACCAGATTCCTCTTCAGTTTACAGGGAATGTAAGTCTGATATTTATCAATCTCAGTTATCTTAATATTCTCATTCACTCTAATGCATTCACACAGTAAAGAAACTCTCAAACCAAGAGTGATAGGGACTTTTATTCCTGATATGGAACAGTGTTCATATATGATACTATATAGCTAGTTGAGAAAGGAGGAAATTTTTTGGAGGATTATATGAAGTACATCTGTAGTATGGGGAAATCACCCCAAACAAAACTAGTTGATGCCTCATACAGATTCTTCAATATTTAAAGAGTAAAATTGCAAATTTGTGCTTCTTCGGTGGATCTATAGCTTGTATTTTTGTTTTTAATGTTTTGTGTTTTTTAATTTAGATTTTTGTCACAGGTATAATGAACTTGCATTTCTTCTAGCTCCACCTACCAAGAAACGAAAGATGATAACAGATGAAGTTTCACTTCGAGTGCCCCTGATGTATGGTTGGCGGCGAGAGACGACTATGCGAACTATTACCCAATCTGGAGTTCGTGGGGAAGTGATTTACTATGCCCCATGTGGAAAACCATTTCGTCAGTATCCTGACATTATGAGGGTAAGGCATCTGTCTTGTTTTGTTGTTGCTCTCCTTAAATCTTTACATTTATATATTAAATTTGACTCTTCATTAAAATAAATATACAGTACAGTATATGATTTAACATTACATGCGGTAAAGGTGCGGGTCAACTGCTTAGAGCATGACAAATCCTCCCCCCAAGTAATTCTTGATTATTGTATCTTCTTCTGCAGTACCTGGAGAAGAATGGTATAACAGAAGTAACAAGAGATAACTTCAGTTTTTCAAGTAAAATTCCTATTGGAGATTATATTGATGCTAATACCCAAAAACGCCACTCTGAAGGTGAAGTCCGTGACAGTATTCAACAAATTCGTGAGCAGAAAGGGTACAAACCAATGCGTAAAAATGAGTGAGTGACATTTACCTATTTTTCTTGTCCTAACAGCATTTTATAAATTTATTGAAAGGTAGCATGGATGCACAGTAAGAAATTATGTTATGAAAGTGGTACAGGCATTGTTGTAGAGGAGTGAAAACATGTGTGCAGTATGTTGGCTAATAGTGGAGATTTTGTATTGAATACCATGCACCAGTGATGTAGTTGAGATTGAGACCACGAACGAAACCATTTGTAATTTTAGCCTTTATGGAACACCTGGTAAGGCTGTGGAGCAATTCATCAGGTGATCACTTGGGGGGTCTGAGCCTCTGGTGATTCATAAAGGCTAAAATTACAAATGGTCTTGTTTGTGGTCTCGAACTTGATCTAGGTCTCGACTGCATCACTGCCATACACTTTAGTGAGTGGGATGCACTGTGAGAGACTTGTATTAGGGAAAAACAAAGTACAGAACTGTATTCCAAATTCTGATACAGGTTGTGGGAGTGTCTAGTGTTGGAGTACAGTACCAGTTTTTATTCCAATGGATTGAAATTAATTCACAATGAATTCTCTGATTGGAATAAATTAAAAATTGATTAATTGATTTATAATCACTTCAATTTATGACATGGGTTAATTTCATTATCAATAATTTGGGACTTGAGTATTAATGTTCAGAGTTAGTAAATATAGTGAATGCTCAATATATGTTCAAAGTCCGTGTGTTATATGGACTAAAAATGAAGTATATATATATATATATATATATATATATATATATATATATATATATATATATATATATATATATATATATATATATATATATATATATATATATATATATATATATATATATATATATATATATATATATATATATATGTATATATATATATATATATATATATATATATATATATATATATATATATATATATATATATATATATATATATATATATATATATATATATATATATATATATATATATATATATATATATATATATATATATATATATATATATATATATATATATATATATATATATATATATATATATATATATATATATATATATATATATATATATATATATATATATATATATATATATATATATATATATATATATATATATATATATATATATATATATATATATATATATATATATATATATATATATATATATATATATATATATATATATATATATATATATATATATATATATATATATATATATATATATATATATATATATATATATATATATATATATTATTACATATATATATATATATATATATATATATATATATATATATATATATATATATATATATATATATATATTAAAAGTACAAATATGTTATGGGGTTTTGATGATATGATAAGGAGAAATGAGAAGTATGCAAAATGAAAGAAAGAGTATATAGTGTAGTGGATGAAGTACAACAACGAAATCAAGAAATGTTGGTTGGGACACAGACCTTACTGGTTTTGTGAGTTTTCCAGTTTTCTGAATAAGGTCACCCTCCCTATGTCCACCCTCTAGAACATTTTTGGGAAGTTTTGGGAGTTTAACAGTGCATTTGTTTAAGTAGAATTCCTTTATAGAAATGATTCATAATAACAATTCATCTTTTGAGAATAATGTAGAAGCATAGACTAATGAGTACAGTATACAGGTATACCCCGTAAACCGTGGTCCCTTTGATCGATGCTTCGCATAACCGATGATTATATATTTGGGAAATAACCTGCAAGTTTCACTGACTATCCCGTTGATCCGACTTTGTGTGTAACATGTGCTATGCAAACATGCTTAAATGCCCTGGCAATTCTTCCGCTTCTGTTTAAACCATAAATGATGGCTAGCATTTTAAGAAGAATATTTTGTCTTTAATGGGATAGTTTAGTCGTCTAATCAGATTTGATATAAGCCTAATGAGAGCTAATAGGTACAAGAGATGCTCATGTGTCAACGTGCTGGAGGTTGCCACTTAACCAGTGTGTTTTTATTTACAGTATTCGTTATTATATTCTTGTATTATCAGCCTATTATGGTGTTTGTTTCATCATGAATAGAATAACATACAGTACTAAATAACAGAACAGAATATGATACAGTACAGTATATAATTTGACTTCAAAATAAAAGACAAGCCAAATCTTCCTGACCATTCACCCCTTCCCTCTGTAAAGGAGGGAGGGGGGGGGGTGAGGGCTGGAACTGGCCGTGCCACGTTTGCCAGATTGTTTTTATTTATTCATTATTATATTCTCGTATTATCAGCATCTTATGGTGTATGTTTCTTCATAAATAATAGATCATATTAAAAACAGAAAATAATAGTATACATAATTTGTAAATTGATTGACTTCAAAATAAAAGGACAAGCTGTATGAGAAGGTAATCTCTTCCCCTCCCACCGACTGTCATCAAGGCCAGCTATCGATTTGAATATTATTCATTCATTGTTATTATATTCAACTATGGTCAGCCACTTATGGCATATGACTTCAAAAATAATATAAAGTCTTCAATAACAAAAAAATATACTGTAATATATAATTTGTATTCTGATTTGAGAATAAAAGGATACGTTGTATCGAAGGTGACGTCTCACTTTATCTTCACTCCCTCCTCCCTCTCACAACAAGTAACCTAACAAAAAATTTCATTATGAAGAAGCTATTTATTATGATGAGAAATAAAATAAAACAAGGTATCAAGATGAAGTTATTTACTCGACTGTATAATTTATCACCTTTATTTTAAAATACCGTAATTGAGACTTGACTTAATACAGCTTGATAGTGTGCACGGCAGAGATATATCAAGGGTAGATGGGAGATTTTGGGTGGTGGCTGGTCCCTTACCTCCCAAAGTTGTTACTGTATATTCTTATTGGATTTATTGCTTTAAAAACCGTCGATTCACTGTCCGTTGACTTTACGCTGTCTATATATGCATCGGTTATCGAGGTATACCTGTACGGTGAAGTAGGCAAAGTAAATTTTGTGTCCCTGTTAAGAAGGTAAGTGTTAAAGATTTATGTTGACACACTAATTGAACTAATGAAACCAAATTTAAGCTGTCCTGATAATCATACAAATCTAACCTATCCTATAACCATTTTTTTTTTTAGTCATGTTAAATAACATGTGATGGTCTGTTCTGTATGTCATTATTAATGCTTACTATAGTATCTTTTTTTTACTGGACCATAGTTGTTACTAGCATGAATATATCACCTTACTCTTGTACATTATTCTGTCAAGGTGATGTAGTGCTGCTAATTGATTGTGATTTGAATGTAAGGTGTGTCTTTTTAATAACAGTGAATAGAATGTGAGATATTTATCAGGAAAATTTATGACGTAGATGTGTGCCACAAAGGTTAATATTTACCATCCCTGGCACACATGACACTGATGGGCTGATCTCTTGCTCACTCCACCATGGCAGTCTTGTTTGAGTACTGTATTCACCCACAAAGTTGCTTGTTATGTAGACTTCTTAATATACAGTACAGACAACATTAATCTTTCAATTGGTTCTTTTATTAATACAGTAGTGCAATTCTACAATATTCAAAACTTTCAACACTTATTTCAGAATCTTTCGCCTGGCTTGGGTAGTACATGTAAAGCCATGTTTAGGCTACTGTGTTATTGTCCGGATCTAGTCACAGGCTAAACCTGTTGTTTCTTTCAAAAAGCCAGTGTAATAAATTAGGTATTATTTCCTTTATTTTATTTCTTATTTCTATTTATATACTTACTTTTACTCTTTCTTTATTTCTTTGTTTCTCTTCTTTATTCTTTGATTTTCTTTTCTTATTCTTAATCTTTCTTTCTATTGGTGATAGAGGGGGGAAGGTAAGGAGGGAAGGACTGTGGTTGAGGGAGGATGGCCGGTTTGTGGTCAAGCAGCCACCCTCGCACCAAGGGGAGTGGGGAGAAGGAAGGGACGGAGGGGCAGAATAACTGGGGAATAGGGCTGACATGCAATAACTTAACACAGGGAAAATATGTGATAGTTGTGTTGTTACTCATGGGGTCACTGTATACCACAAAGACACTTATGAAGAATACTCTACTCCATACACAGGGGAAGGGAATTGAGAACTATTCTTAATGGTTCTTCTTAATTATGGAGCCACTATAGCCAATATATGTAACATAGTTATGGCTGCCAAACATACTCAGGTGAGGTGCATGCCTAGAGTATTTGGTCTACAATTGGTTGTGTGTTCTTTGGCATTTGAGAGAAATATACAGTAAACCCTTGCTATTCGCGAAGGTTAGGTCCCAAGGAACGGTGCGAATTGGCAGAACCATGAATAGCAACTTATACTACCTTAGTGCACTAATATATACCTACAGGTGCTCCCCGACTTACGACGGGGTTAGGGACCCAAATCCAGGTCGTAAGTCCGAATGGTCGTAAGTCCGACATCGATAAAAAAAAAAGAATTTAAAAAAAAAATCATTTTTTTTTTCAAAAAAATAAAATAAAAAATCTACAATGAAATACAGTACAGTAAAAGTAATAAATAATGAGGAATGGATACAGTGTGACTGAGCACTTATCTTTAATGTAGTCAGCTGAATGCACACGGGGCCCCGTAATTTTCTAATTATACATGGAAACTACATTAACTGGAAACGTTTCGGTATAGAAAATGCATGCGTCATTTGAAAAAAAAAAAAAAAATTTGGTCACAACTGTGGCGGTCGTAAGTCCCGACAGTAGTAAGGTCAGAGCAGGTCGTAAGTACCGATGGACGTAAGTCCAAGCAGTCATAAGTCGGGGACTACCTGTATATTGTTTATGCGGAACTTATGGCACCAGTACTACTTACATTTGTATGTGGAAGTTTGGAGCTTGCTGAAGTGGTGTACAGTATATTGGGAGACATCTGGTTACTGAAGCATAGGGGGATCATCAGGATCACTGCTGGAAGAGGGTGATGCGGTGGTGGTTGGTGGAGAGGCGGGTGGTGGAGAG